GCACCCTGCTGCTCATCCTCGGCTGCCTGCTCATGCTCTTCCTCGGATACCCCGTTATCATCGAGATCAGCAAACAGCATTCCGACGGCACTGCCTCTTCCTCGCTCAGCACCACCAACACCTACACCACCTTCCCCTCCGAGATGAAGCGCGGCCTCATCGATCAGCAGACCCCGCAGTCCGCCTACAAACGCACGTCAGCCGTCGACGACTCTAAATGGCATCTCGTTTTCAGCGACGAGTTCAATACGCCCGGCCGATCCTTCTGGCCAGGCGAGGACCCCTTCTGGGAGGGATTCCACGGTTGGTATTCGGGCACCAACGACTACGAATACTACACTCCCGAAGCCATCAACACCACCGCCGACGGCAAGCTGCAGATCAGCTTCGAAGAGCGCGAGACCAACAATCTCAACTTCCGCTCCGGCATGCTTCAGTCGTGGAACAAGGCGTGCTTCACCGGCGGATACCTCGAGGTGCGCGCCCAGCTGCCCGGCTCGCCCGACGTGGCGGGATTCTGGCCCGGTCTGTGGCTCATGGGCAACCTCGGCCGTCCAGGGTACAACGGTGTCAACGAGGGTATCTGGCCCTACTCTTACGCCGGATGCGACACGGGTGCGCTGCCCAACCAGACGTGGGTCAACGGCAGCGGTCCAGCGCACGCGATTAATGCCAACGGTCAGTTCAGTTACCAGGTCAACCACAAGCTCTCCTACCTCCCCGGTCTGCGCTTCCCGGCGTGCACGTGCCCGGGCGAAGACCACCCGGGCCCGAACAACAACGTGGCGCGCAGCTCGCCCGAGTTGGACATGCTCGAGGCGACGATCGGCGCCAATGGTGGACAGAGCTCGCAGTCGCTCCAAGTGGCACCGTTCGACGTCGACTACTTCTACAACAACAAGTCCGGCACCGACTACACCATCCACAACACCGACACCACCAAAATCAACGGCTACCACGGAAATGAGCTGCAAGAGTCGGTGTCGGCGCTGTCTGCGATCCCCGACCGGGCGTACCAGAGGTACGCCAACCCACAGTACGTCAACTTTGGCGTGGAGTGGGAGCCGGACATGAACGGCGACGGCATGGGGTTGAACGGCGAACCGGCTTACATTACCTGGTCGATCGACGACAAGCCGACGTGGACGCTGAGGGCAAGCGCGCTGACGGGCGTGCCCGAGCTGGACATCAGCCGAAGGCTCATCCCGAGAGAACCCATGTCGATCATCCTCAACTTGGGCATGGCGTACAACTTCCAGCCGCCCGTGTGGGACCAGCTGCAGTTCCCTGGCACGCTCAAGATCGACTATGTGCGCATGTATCAGCGCGACGGTCGGGCAGATCGGGTGTCGTGCGATCCGAAGGAATTCCCCACACGATCCTACATTGAACGTCACAAGGACGTCTACTCCAACGTCAACATCACCAGGTTCCCCAAGGATCGAATTCCGAAGAACTCACTCACACATCCTGGATGCAAGTAGCATCTGTACTTACATAGAGAACAATTCAATAGTCCGAGTGGAATGCACAGGAGCTCCTTGCTTTGAGATGTCTGAAGCCCTGTTTGAGTTTGGGGGGCTTGATGTTCGGGGGGGCTGAAAGGCAGGGTAAATTCCGGCAGAGAAATTGAGCCAAAAATTGGGGTCCACGACCTACGAACGTGAGGCTGCTTGAGCATAGCATTCGGAACATGTTGCCGTTGAGGATGCCGATCGCAGTGTGACAGCTGCAGCGATCCTGTGGCTGGCCGAGCCAGGCGACATGGCCGCCACCTTTTTCTCAGCCGGTCACACGCAGCAGCGCCGAAAAATAAAGCTCCCCGCTGGCTCGCAAGGCCAGGCTGTGCTGCCGCGCGGCTTGCTGCTCCATTCGGGGTCCTAAAAAAAAAGGAGGGTCGAGCGCCCAGTCTGCCGACCGCACGCACCAACTCGACTCGACTCGGCAAGCTTTTGCATTTCACACCGACCCAGACGCGCTTGGCCAGCCGCGTGTGCACAGTGTGGCACAGGCAGGCGGCAAATGCCTCGTTCCTGCTCAGGTGCGTGCATACAGCCATGCTGGCCACCATCCTTCCCCACTCCTTCTCCCCATCCCACCATCCTCCACCATCCTACGCATCCATCCAAGCTATAATACGTCTCCACCTTCTCATCCAACCAGCCACCCCAATCGCCGAATCGCCGCAAGAGCACAGCCAACCGCTCTGCTCTGCTATGCACCCCATGCTCCCCACTCGGGCTCGATGAAACAAGAGTCCTCGAAAGCGCCACGCTTGACCTTCAGCCCTTGTCCAGTCTCGTCCACCACACTCGTTGCGCTCCCTAGTTGTTTCCTGCGCCACCACAATGTCCGCCTCGCCCGCTCTGCCCGAAGCCATCATCGTCGACGCGCCGCTCCCGGCAACTCGCCCCTCTCCATCGTCTCATGACTTGACTCAAGCGCATGCTGCCAACACATCCACATCGGACCGCCATCCGTCGCATGCTGTCCACTCGCCCAACTCCATGATGGATGCAGTCACTGCAGCGGCTGCCATGGGCGCTCTTCCCGCTGCCAACGGCCTCCCCTCGGACCCAGCGGAAGCATCCAGCGTCTCGCGCCTCTTTGCGCATCCTCCCGCTCCGGACCCAGCGCCCGCCTCGACCCCAGCTTCCACAGCTCTTCTTTACGGCTCGGCACCTGTCTCGCCGAACCCGACTTCGCCAACTCGCACCCCAGCTGCACCGCACAGCCTTCGATCCGCCGCATCGCCTTCATCCCACCTCGCCTCGCCCGCTTCCGAGCGCGCAAATCCAATCATGGGCGCGGGCGTCGCCCCCAGCCATCTGGCTCACAGCCTGCACCAACATCAGCAGCAGCAGCTGCCCGCCTCGGCCGACGCCTCCACCGCATACTTGCACAACGCCAGCGGCTTCCGCTCACCCACTCGAAGCCGCCTCCACGGCACCGCTTCCCCCGCCGGCACATCGCCGCCCAACCTCACCGCTCCCGCACACCCAGGCGCATGGCATCATCCTGACCATCAGTCCTCGCACACCCCCCACACTCCTCGCTCGCCCAGCATTTTCGAGCGCGACATCGAGCACCGTGATGCCTCCCACATCATGACCGCGCAAGAAGCCACCGACGTTGCCATCCCTAGCGTCCTCGACGATGCCGTCGAGGCCATCATCGAGGACGACGCCGAGATCGAGGTCGTGGCGCCCCAAAATCCCGCGCCCCCGCTCGCTCTCAGCTCCGCCGCACTCTCGGTCCACTCGGGTGCCAGTTCGCCTTCGCTTGGCTTCGCTTCCTCCCCTTCGCCCCCCCTCTCGGCCTCTGGCCCCATCGACGCCCCGCCCGGCTCCATGGCAGCACAGATCGCCGAGAAGCTCGGCCCCCGCGGCGTCACTACCGAGGAAGCCATCGCAAGGCGCACGGTCGGTGCGCCTCGACGCCCCGGTTCCGATATTGAAAGCGGTGCGACCTCTCTACGCTCGCGATCGCCTCAGGCTACTCGTATGGTCGACATGGCCGACGGTGGCAGCCCCGTACGATCTCGCGCCTCGCCTTCCCCGGTACCCGCCATGCCACCGGTCTCTCTGGTCGCTGCCGTCTCGCAAGCTCAGGCCATCTCGCCCCTCCCTCCATCGGCGGGCGCAAGCTCTCCCATGCCTACCGCTACTGCGTTCCCGTCGCTGCCCCTCCCCAATCCCTATCGTTCCAGCTCGCCCAACCTCTCGGCGATGGCGCTTCCCTCGCTTGCTGCCGGCGCCGATGCCGGCCGTCCGGCCACGTCGAGCGTCAGCATCGACGGCGCCATCATCTCGGGCACCGAGGTCGCCACGCTCGATCACAGCCTCGAGACCATCGCAGACGTACTGGCCGCTCACGACGCCGAACAGGCTGCCAGTCCCTATGTTCCCAGATCGCCCGCCCCGCCTGCCATCTCGGGCTCCAGCAGTCCCGTCGTCGATCGCAGTCGCAGTGCCGCAAGCTCGGCCGTCCGACAGCCTCTGCACCATCCAGGCATGGGCGCGGCTGCAGGTGCCAACCGCGCTGCTGCGCCTGGTACGCTCGGTTTGCCCGCCAGCAGCAGTGGGCTTGGCGTCTTCAGCACGGGCGAGTCGCTCTTCCAGGCGCTGGCTTCCGGATCACCTTCGCCCTCGGCGGACAAGCGCAGGCTGTCGTTCTTTTCGTACGCCGACATCCTGAATGAGAACAAGGGCGAGGTGATGGATCTTCAGGGTGTCGTGCGCCATTCGGCTGAGCGCGACGAGCAGCAGCACGGCATCTTCCATGCACAGCCGCATGCGCAAGCTTACGGCCATGCGGATGCAAGCGCGGGACCTCAGTACGATGCCTTTACATCGCAGCCGTCGATTATGCAGCAGCTTGGCGGCGGAGCGGGCATGTCGCGGTCCGTGAGCACCAGTGCGGCTGCCAGTCCGCGCATCGGCGGCTTTGGAGCTCGGTCTACGAGCGGCAGCTCCGCCACCGCGGGCGGTGCGATGAGCAGCGGCGCGTATACGCCTGCACGTGGACGTCGCGACTACCTCGAGAACAAGGCGCTCAGCAACCGCCTCGACAGTCTGCAGCTCGCCACCTCCACGGCCGCCGCCACTGCCGCAGAGGCCAAGACGCGCAAGGCTGCGTGAAGCCTTCAGCCACACTGCAGCGACTCGATTGTTGTGACACGGACCATCCCTGCTTCCACTCACCCCCTCTTTTTTTCCGTAAACTTGTGACTGGTAGTCGTCGCTCTCTTATGTTCATGGGTATGATTGTTTGCTTTGCTTGCAAGTGCGGTCTGAGATGCAGGGCTGCTTGTCTGCGATCTGCGTGTAAGCGGAAAGCAAGACTCTCAGCATGGGTGGGAAAGATGCGAGATGCAGAGACAAATCCATGTGGCGCTGAAGTTGTCGGCACCAGCCTTCGCTGGTGGTACTCAAGACACATTCTTCGAACAGACACGCCGGAAGGTCGCATGTTTGGTGACGATTTGCATTTCCACGACATCAAAGGTGGGGCCTGACCTGCTGAGCATGTGCATCGATGAGGTCCGCGACCTCCTTAGCGATCCCAAACGAAGCCTGGTATCCCGCCGGACCGATACCGTACGAATGAACCACAGTGAGTGGCTTCGCATCGTTCTTCAGCACTTCCAGCTCGACTCTTACCCCGCCCTCTCTGGCAGGTCTAAGGCCGATGTTGTGGGAGATGACGGGGATGTCGCGCCACGTCTTGCCCGGCGGGACGATTTCGGGGACGAGTTTGGCGCACTCGCGCATGATCGTCTCGGCCAACTCCGTGCTCGGTGTAGTCGAGGACTGACGGATGTCGAACGAGCCTCCGAGGATCACTTCGCCGGACCTCGCGCGTGGGATCACATAGTTCGCCGGGCTGCCAAGCTTCATCACGCAGCGTGCACCCATGCTTGGGGCTTTGAACGAGGGTACCTTGACGAGTACGGTTTGGCCACGGATGGGGTAGACGTTGGAATCGCGTACATCGGCCAGATCACCCGCACCCACACCTGTTGCGTTGACCACGAGTGTGCAGGTCGGAATGAGAGATCGTACCGCTGCGAGCGATTGCATTGTCGAGCACCGACGAATGTCAACGGGTGGCCCCGCACGTGCTGCACTCATCAGCGTCGGCTTTGTTGCTGTGAGCTCCGAAACAAGCCATCGAGTGTATAGCGGGACACTGATTGTAAACGACTTGTACTTGATCGCGTGTGCACCCGTCCCATCGCCGTTGGGAAGCACTGAGAAGTCAGGAACAAGACTGCTGAACCATACGTCCTTGGCTTCGCGCTTGGTAGGGTTGATGTCGGTAAAGTCAACCATGGCCATCACCTCCGGAGGCAGCTGACGGTGCAGCTCGAGCCACTTTTGAAAGGTGATTGCATCCCGGCGCTGGTTGGCCTTGTCCTCGAGCGTGGCGAAGGAGCACCAGTTGGCACCGGCCCAGGGACTTGCGAAGGTCTGCGCGAATGTGTCCTGCGGAAGATCACGCGCGAGGATGGTGACTTTGTAGCCGCGCTCGCGCAGCTCGAAGGCATCGGTGAGTCCGAGAACTCCTGCACCCAATACCACCACGTGAGGCCGGTCCGACATGGCTCCAACGGGGTGTGAGACGCTTGTAGAGACGGTGGTGGTGGTGATGATGATGATAATGATGTAGTTGCTGGGTGAGTTAGTGACTCGTTGCTGAAGTTCAGTGCACGGTGTGGGGAATAGAGTGTTGCACCTGCGGGGTCCCGTGAGCTTTCGAGTCTTGGTCGCGCTGATTCTTCGAGCGAGTGCTTGAGGCCGACTTTTAGGCCGGTCCAGTTGCCGACGAGCTTTATCGTCCAATGGATTTTCTCGGTCAGGGTCCTGGTTCGCGTTGAAGCTCAAGCTCAAGCCATCCTCGCTCCAATACTGATCAAACCACGCCGCCATCAAGCAAGATGTCAGGCGCTGCGCCCATCCCGATCATCTCGCTCGGTGCGGGAGAAGGCGTACCGGCTCTGGGCGCGCAGATCCTCGATGCAGTGGTCAAGACCGGATTCTTCTACCTCTGCGACCACGGCATCAGCCAGGACGAAATTGATGCTCTCTTCCGATGCAGCGCCGAGCTGTTCCTCGAGGAGAGGGAGTCGGAGAAGCTCGCATGCCAGGACCGAGCCAACAATACGGGGTACACACCATTGAAGCAGGAGAGTCTGGACCCCAACAGCAAGTCGGAAGGCGATCTGAAGGAGTCCTTCTACCTTGCGGGCCTGGCGAGGGCCGAGGGAGGCTCCGCACCGGTCGAGGAGAGATACCGGCCACCATCACAGCGTCTACCTCCATCGCTGTTGGCACGGCGGGAAGCAGTTGCTGAATTCATCGAGAAGTGCAAGCGGATCAGCGAGGCGGTGTTGACCGGATTCGCCGAGGCGATCGATCTTCCGCCGCAGTATTTTGTCGACGCGCATCACGGTGAGCACGATCGACTGCGTCTGATCCACTATCCTCCCACTGGCGTCTGCACGAGCGACGCATCCAAGAGCTCCATGAGCATCCGCGCTGGCTCTCATTCGGACTACGGTTCCTGCACGCTGCTCTTCCAGAAAGACGTTGGTGGGCTCCAGGTGGAGATGCAGCCGGGCGAGTGGGTCGACATTCCCCCACAGAAGGGCTGCATCGTGGTCAATGTCGGCGACGCCATGGAGTTCTGGAGCGCGGGACTTTTCCGCTCGACGCAGCATCGTGTCGTTCTTCCGCGCAGCGAGAGCGAGAGCGGCTCGCGCTTCTCGATCGCCTACTTTTGCCAGCCGGACGAAGACGCACGCCTCGTTCCGCTCCCAATTCCGGAGACGGTGCGCGACCGGTTCAGCGGCAAGATGATGGACCAGCACGAGTTCCACAGCCGTTGCGCCGCCAAGGGGGTTGCCGACGTCGCCGAGCTCACGGGCGGCCAGCATCTACGTGCTCGTCTGGAAGCCACCTACCGCTGACAATCTTAAGCTCAATTCAACCTGTAATGGCCATGTACCGCATCGTTCTGTCGTCTCTCGTCAAAAGAGCAGAAGTTAGTCTCAGCCGATAGGCCAAGGGTCATGGTGGAAATCGGGAACAGGTCCGATTTGAAGCTGCTCCTGGGCGATGCCGTGAGATGAGCGACCTGATCGGATGAGCCGAAAACTTGCATCGGCGAGTCCCGTTTCTGTTTTTCTTTTTTTGGTGAGGATCGTTGGGGGGTGCAGGAGCCGCGCATTGGCGTCCATTTGGCGATAGGCCCCGCGTGTGGAAACGATCATGCGTCTGCGGAATTCCTCGGTGCTCGCTTATCCGGCTTCTCCATCGAAGCCAAACCTGACCGACGTGAACGGAAGACAAGACGGAAGTCCAAGGCGATGTTTGCGAGTTTCAGAATGAACCGCCGCCGCGGATCTCGCCTGGACCCTCCTAGGGGGAAGTGTGTTGTTTGGCGGCTTCGAGACTCCGCTAGTTGCGCGATCTGGAGGGAGGCTCGCTTTGTTGCGGTTTAGCGCAGGCGGTCACCTGGGCCTGCAGCCTGACGCTCCATTGCGAAGAGGTGCATGCGCGCGGCGAAATTAGGGCACCTCAAGGCTCGACCGCCTCGGAATTGCCGACCAACCTCGCGATCGAGTCGCAAACACGTTGCCGTGCCTTTTTTTGGTTGCAATTTCTTGGCCCACCGCCCATCTGCAAGCCATCAGCTGCACGGCAGAGGTGCAGCTGTACCGCCCCGTCGCCCGCCCTCCGCCCAGCTGCTGCTGCTGTCGCTGATGCTAGTTTGTTTTCCGCCTGGCCAACGGCGGTCGCGGCACACCCGTCCATATGGTCAGACGGTGCCGAATCTGATCTTTCCCACCCTCCATCATCGCAACGGACATCGCATCTTCCGCTTTCCCCTGCTCATTTGTCTAGACCGCCTTCCCACCCTGACTAGCGTGGTCTTCCCAAAATCACACGCTCTTCTTACCCTCCTCACTCATCCCTTCCGTCCCGATCAGAAACATCCCCTCTTTTCGGCTTCTCGGCCCACGCCGCCAAGACCCGTTGCCGCCGACTCCCGTGTCGCTTCATCACGCCACCTGCTTCATCCTCGACTGCATTGCCGCCGTCACATCTTCCCTTCTCCCTATCAGCAACTTTGGCCTCTCACTTGCCGCCCGCCCTCGTGCTCATCAGCCTCACCGGCGACTCGACCTCGCACCTCGCATCTTTCGCCTTTCGCCTTTCGCCTTTCGCCTTTCGCCTTT